AGACGCCTCCAAACATTCGGTGTTTGCCGTGTAGCGACCGACCGCCATCGGAATCCAAGGAGGATACACATACCGGACATTGTCTAGATCCAAGCCTTCATCTCCTAGTAGCCGACTCGCTTGTAAGTGCAACTTTATACGAGAGTTCGAAAGTGACATAACTGAAAGCCAATAAATTCCCCATGAATTATTTCCGACATTGTTTACATTTTCAATCGTACGGCAAACTATGAAATAAAATATTCATTCATGTTACTGCACTGTTTGAACATTCCAAGAAACCATTTAAAGCAAATGAGGCGATGATTTCTTTGGCCGGCCATTAATTGCTTGATTGGCGAAGAGCCATCTTGAGCACATCGAACCTGCGCCAGCTGCGAAACGCACTGAAGAGGCCCGTAGAAGCCCTTTGCCAATAGAGCGGTCACTGGTAAACATGTTACGTGTTTTATTTACTTCTCTCTGAGAGGACCACATCATTCACGACGTATCTCGATAAATCGGTTCAATTAAGAGAAAAAATAACTTTTGCAACCCTTCAGTGTTTTTAAAATAGATTATAATATTCAGAGCTAGGATGTTCTCGGAATAACGTGCACTCAAATATGTACACATATGTGGAGCGAAAATGGTCGAAGTATGAACTAACATTCAAATAAAAAGATTAAGAGTGTGGAAATAATGTAGTAATCAAATGTTTAATTAAGTACATAAATATCGAGATCAAGGAACATAATATTAGGTGTTGAGCGAGATTTAATAATTTACAAACATTGTTAATTTGCTGAAAGTACGTTCCATTTTTATCAGATAGTTTTTCATTAGCAAACTAATGTTGCAATGTTCAAATATGAAACTGCTCTTTTACTCCTATTTTCTCCTAACATATGCGAAATATGTACTATATATTCAAATAGGGACATACAGTCATAATCAAAAAGGTTTCAAATCTCTTGAAAAATCCTAATTTGGAAGTATATGTCAAAAGTTTTAGGTAATTAATAAGCTAACAAATATATAATTTAAAGCTCTAATAATAATGCAATCAACAGCAACAAGTTTCCACAAATTTCTGCAATTTTCTGGAATGAATTAAAAACCTTGTGCTGTCCCCACCAGAGTGATGTCTGAGTTTATTGAGCCCCTGCGAGTAGACACTTTCAATGTTATGCTCATTGAGAGCCCAATAAATCATTTTTAAACGACCGAATCCGCAATTCAGAGCTGCTACATTCACGTCAGGTCAGGACTCTGAAACTGCCCGGTGAGAATATGAATTCGTTCGAAGCTTCAGATTCGATTATTGTAATTACGTTTTGTATAATACAAACATTCAGTAACATCATATGACATAAAAATTAATTCCGTTCATACTTATTGAGAATTTCATTATTCATATCGAAACATTCCTAGCTCGATAGGGATTGCCTTCATTCTCCTTCTTGTGCCTGCCACTGACCGAAGGCAAACCCATACATAGCCGTGATTACGTGAGGATTTTTGAAGCATCTTCCAAAATGAAAGAAAAAAAAACTAATAGTGGAGGATGCCATGTCGCTTAGCAGTTGAGAATGTTCAACGAACTTAATCTTTTCAATGACAATTTTTCAGTCTCTTAAGATTCGTTCCAGAGCGCTTCACATCCATCAGCCAGCGTAAGTCGGTGGGTCGCCCCTGATTCGTTACTGATAACGTACTTTCGTCTTTTTGTGATAGATTTAATATTATTAATACTGCACACGCGAATTAGTAATTTTCCAGTTCCTTTCTGTACGATTTTCTCGTTTGGTACGATAAAAAATTGACATGTTTATTTAAAAACTCACGTTTGCTCAGTTCATTTTCCGATCCGACTTTTAAATTACAAAAAACATAAATGTTACTCAGAATAGTACGCATTTCACTAATTACAAGAACTTCACTGCGATTTCATCGTCATGACGGGATTCGATGGTGAGTAGTACCTATTCGAAATAGGTCATACGTAAAAAATGGCATGTTATTAACGCTACGGCGAATCAAGCTTCAATGCTCAAAACACTATGAAGAAGTCGTGAATTTTGGAACACGTCTATCTAAGCACACGTCTATGGAAAAGGAGCAATTCTTCGAAATTGAATATTGCATTGGTTCACATTTACTGCTCTGCTAACGGCGAAAAAGAAGGCATACGGATTCAAAGTAGGCATTACACTTACAAAAACGCTATCACGAGCTTTTTGCGTTCCGTTCACATCCCCGTCCGAAGCAACTCCCACCGGATCGAGTCTCACGGTACAAATTACTCCTAGTCCTTTCCCGTCCGTCGCCTCCGAGATATCCTGGTCGCGTCCTCGCGCCACTGCAGTCTTGCACGGCCCCCTCCGCACAACGGCACCGCTCACCAACGCTGCGCCACACAGTGGCACCGCACGGCGGCACGACGTCGCAACACCGGCCGTCGCCGGCGACGAGGCCGCCACCGTCGCCGACCGGTCCGCCCCGCCGCGCGGCGACGGCCGAGAGCGCAAACGCATGTAGTTACACCTTTGGCCACTACGCTGCGCTGCACTCCACAGCGTTGTTGTAGCAGTAACCACAAACGCTGATAGAATGCGCTGACTAACGTTCGAGCATGACGTTTGCGGGGTACCGGCTCGGCACGGCACGGTCGGAACCACGCGGAGCGCGGCGACCAATAGGAGTGACGGAAAACGGTCGCGCAATATATGACTCGTGTGCTTGTTTATGGTTCTGTCAAAACACCTGCTCGCCATAACGCCAAATACAATTTTATTTCGTTCGGAAGTAAAGTCAATCGTTTATTTTTAATAAATGGATTTGGACGCGTGTAATATATTATTTCAGAGAATCGAGCCCACGGTGACAGCAAAATGGAATTGTGACGTCCAAAAGCATTTTGACATCCGCCAATTCCAAATTCATATACAAAAAAGCTCCCAAGTGGGCATTCTACTCTCATACCTTTACGCCCGGAAAAGGAATATAATGAAATCCCGCGCAGTGGCGAGTGCCGGGAGGCGAGCCGAGTCAACTACGAAAGCATTCAATTCGCGGACCGATCCAGCCATCCGCCGGCCCTCATGCCTTCCACGTGGTCTCTTTTTGTGCGAGTTTTCGCAACAGAAAGGCAAATAACTGGCGCGGCCCGTTTTTACATATTCATTAAAGGGTGCGCTTGGGTAATTCTGTTTACAATTCGAAGCGTCCCCGTTTGAAGCGACGATGCGGGCCCGCCCGGAGGATAATTCGGTTTGCTACGCGCGGGGAGGTCAGCCCACCCGCGGGCACGGGTGGGCACGGAGGCCGCTGGTGGGCACGGAGGCGCCGGCGGTGATGGCAAGGGAGACGATTTTCAAGCCCCAAAAAATTTTGAAATATGCTTTTAAAAATATGCATTATGACGTAAAAATTCTAAAATATGCATTTTAATATGCAATTAAAACGATCAATATTTCATGTTCTGCGTAAACATTTCTTGATAAAATTCAGAAGAAGCATGCTTGGAATGAAAAATATATATATTTTTGTGCAAATATAATATAACCTAGCTTAATTTGCAGGAGAAATAATTAAGTAAATATGCACGTTAGTGAAGTAAATTGTACGTTTTGTTTCATTTTTTCTGCGTGGTTTAAAAAAAATGATATCAATAAATATCCTACATTTTCAGTAGTATTTTATTTATAGGAAAGAAAGAAAAAAAACAACTGTGACAAGCTCAATCTAGTCAATGAACGCACACGAATAAATGGATTACAAGAAAAAAAGAATCTATTGTGAGAAAAGTCTCTATTGCGAAGAAAAATGTAAAATATGCACCAATAAATACACGAATATACAGGAAAAATCGCACTAACATATCTACACAAATATGTCCTAACACAATCTACATAGCATTCAGTTTTCACCATATGTCTAGAAATTTCACTTACTATGCCTGAAGCAACGGAAAAAAATTTGCAAAATCATAGAAATCCCCGCCCCCTAGTAATAACGCTGGTTCAGAATAATAAGGATAGTAATTAACAGGGTCAAACGGTATCGACGCAAATGGTGATTGCGGCTACTAACGGTGATAAATGATGTTCTCGCTGAAAACGATGGGCAACGCTATCAAACGGTAACGGCGACGGCCTACTGTAGCATCGGCAAAGAAAGGTGACAAATGACAATGGTAGGGCACGGTGTCTAACGGTGAGGGTTAAAGAGAGTTGCTTCATGCCATGGTAACGGACTAAACAATCGAGAGCAAAAATCATTTTTTAGCTCTCGTGTGTGAAAACTACGTTCTGTTTTTATTGATTGGAAAGTACTACTTTGACAAAGTAGCTCTTTGAGAACGTGAGCCGCAAAGTAAATTAAACACTGGGAAGAATAAATAAAACACTAAAGCATTAGTGAGCTACGAATATGTGGTTAGAAAATCGAATTATTGTCGGATACGTAGAGATAAGAGAAGGAAGGAATACACAAGAGATAAGGAATTAATGTATGGTAAGTATTACTTTCATTTATTTGAAACCTACCTTGCACATATGTTTTAGTACTGTGATATATGTAGCAAATGTTTCATTGATTCAATTGTTTATTTACTTATTGGCCTTACGTTGTGTGTCATACCACGGATAAAAATTGAACCTCATAAACCGCGTCCGCCTATCTTCAGGCAAACAAACAAAAATTTTTTTTTTTTTTATTTTTTTTTTTTTTTTTTGAAATTGAAAAATTATTTGAAATATACATTTTGAAGACCCAAATTTACAGAACAATAAACAATTTGAAAAAAGTCGTTGCTTTTTAAGGTAACAAACAAAATATGTGCAATACGATCATCAACTCGTGGTTTATTGATCGAGTTTTCGGCATTTCAAATACACATCAAGTGAAAATATTTCCTGACTGCAGGAGAAAATATGCATTTGCATTGGAATCTGGACCCTACTGGCAAACTAAGTTTAGCAAAATATGTAGAATAATAATGTTGTAGTTTAGTGGAACTAGTGCTGGTAAGGTTGTCGGAATATATTGACCTACATTAAAAAATAATATTTTAAATCTATTTCGACGTGTTATGGAGATTTAATCAGATTTCTTCACCCTTCTCTTGTTCTATTTCGAAGATTAAATATTATTAGACATTTATAACAATAATCCCATAAAACACGAGAAAGTACAAAACCAAAGATCAGTAGTGTCGAAATTCTAACCAAATGTTTTTGTAATGAAAGTACAATTTGTTCACAGTCTGGTAGAGAGACACCTTAACATTTTTCAGTTAGATTAATATTTTAACATGTTACTATTTGACGGTTTGCAATAGCACGTAAACGCATAATTTCCAGCTTCAGAAATTATATTCACTTCCGAAATATCACTTAACAAGTCAGTCTTCTTTTTTTATATACGAGTATATATGCACATTACGAGTGCACAGAGTTATGTAGGCCAGCAATCACGAATGCCTCGACGACAACCTGGACTGAGAAAGTGGGTTCGCACGCTGGCCCTGCATTGGAGATCTCTCGCCCAACCGCTCTGGCAGAGTCCGCGCGTTTCATGCGCGAATAATTTAAATTTATCTCGCCTGCGCCGGGGGTAATACTCGGCGCGTTGACCCCATCGGGTAGAGGCGGAATTCTCATTTGCGGGGACGTTTTTATCGTCGTCACATACTTGGCGCGCCGGCTCACCGCGACGCACGCTGCTCCCAAATGGTACACGAGGGCGCTAGACAAGATGCAAGCAGAATGGGTCTTATTAAGGGCCCTGGATTATGGATCTACTTATTTTTCGCTTCTTCTTTGTCGTCATCGTCTTCTTCTTCTTCGTCGTCATCGTCATCGTCATCGTCATCGTCTTCTTCTTTTTCTTCTTCTACTTCTTCTTCGTCGTCATCGTCTTCTTCTTCTTCGTAATCTTCTTCTTCTCCTTCGTCGTCATCGTCTTCTTCGTCGTCGTCACCATCGTCTTCTTCTTCGTCGTCGTCATCGTCTTCTTCGTCGTCGTCATCGTCTACTTCGTCATCATAGTCTTCTTCTAAATCGTCACCGTCTTCTTTTTTGTCGTTTTAGTCTTTTTGCCGTCATCGTATTATTTGTCATCTTCCCTTCTTGCCTTATTTATACTTTTTGTCATCATCTTCCTATTAGTTATCATATAGTTCTTCTTCTACTTTATAGTCATATTATATTCTTATGTAGAATAATATAAGTTACTTTATTTTTTTACTGATTCGTTATTGCCTTCGATACGGACCACGATATACACTGCATAACGTACCTCTATCGAGAGGATCGTAGTTGCGAGGGAAATATGGAAACAATTGAATGATGTTACATGTTCTCTTATGAAGGGGAATTATGGGAGGGAAATATCAAAAGAAAAACCCAGTGAAGATAACATTCAGTTAATTGGCAAGTCTGAATCAACAAAATAAGCTAAAAAATAAAATAATGTACGCACGATGGGCGTGAAGTGGTTTGAATGATATCAGGTGTCAAACATCC